AAAATGTATTCTAAGTTTCTCACATTATCATGTAACATTTGACAATTTCTAGAAACTTTCAAGGATAAAACCTAATCATATCTTCACATCAAAATTGTAATAATTTGGTTGCAATGGTCCATTCATGGGGCAATTAGTACCACTTTGAACATCTTTCATTTCAACATCAACTGTTAATTGCAGTTGGTAACCTGTCTCATATCAAACATTAATCTACCAAAAGCAAGGGTTAATGCAATCTCAAAATAGACATCTTTTCGAGGTTAGCTGTCTGAAATTTACGGTTAGGTCATATGCATCATTCTTTTGTCACAATATTGTTGACGCCTGTGTATGTGTACTTTAGCATTTGTAGTTTTTGTTAATAATTATTGGCATAGTAACAGTTGAATAGTAAGAGTTTGTTGAGACTTAGAAATCTAAATTCTATATTACCAAAAGCAATAAAATCACAAAAAGAAAATAAGCACACAAAACTGTATAATTTATAGGGATTTGCCCCAATGTGAACTACATTCTCGTTTGTCGCTACAATAATTTATTATGATAAAAATAAATTTACAAGAGAAAACTCTCTTGACTTATTTTCTCTTGCCTCTCTCTTTTTATAATGATATATTAAATACTAATGATAACTCTCTATTTATAAGAAAAATAAGGTAAAATTAAAGATACAAGTATGGAATTTCTAAAGTATCCTTAATAAAATTTTGGTTTGAGCCGAGCTCCATCCCCTGCAACCCATGGACCTTACCCTTAAAGATTGATCCGCATACGCACTCCACACAACAATAATAATAGGTTCAACAAATTAACATGGTTGACTAAGGAAACAATCTTTGCGTTCATATATAACCATATATATTGTCAAAGAATCTCCCATTACAAACCTACACCAATTTGTACGATTGTGACAAATAGAGTTCTACTTAAGTTCTGAGGATTGTTTCGAGTTAGTCCTAATTACTAATTCGTTATTTGTTCCTTCTAGCTAGTTATCCACCTCTATCGTGACATATTAATCTACTTTTTCTCGATTTATTTTTAATTACTTGATTATCAAGTCTTACATATCCATGTATTACTTATTAAGCCCTTGTTTGATTACCATTATTTTCAAAATACATTTTTTTCTCTATTATTTTCAATCACATTTTTTTCGATAAAATATTATTACATGCAAATTTAAAATTGTTCATTATTTTTTAGCCATACATTTTTCATTAAAATACTGCATTTTGAATAAAAAAGAGGGCTTAACTAGGCTCTAAAATGGTTGTGCTTCTTATTTCTTTTCCATCAGGAGCATCAATCCTATAGAGTTGATCCACTCGGCTAATTTTCCATCACAAAAAATCAATCTATGTATAGACTTGGCTTGCTTTCAAAGATGCACAACTCTCATTTATCAACAAGTACAATTTTGTGTACAATCTTTGACAGCACAGAGCACACAATAAATATACAGTTGATGCATGCAAAGGGTAGAGGGAACTACTGAGAGGTGGTTGGTTCTAATAAATGGTACGAAAGACTCAATTTTTATTTATATTTTAGTCGAACCAACCAGTCCTGACCATATAAAACATTGCTTAAAACCACTTGTTTTCGGCCTCAAGAAGAAATAAATTTATGACAGCCAGGGGCGGACCCACTTGAGGCCGAGTGGGGTCGGCCGCCCCCACTCGATTTTCAACTTTTTAATTTATCTTGAGGTTTTCTCCTATGATTTTTTGATTTCGTCCTCACTGAATTTTCATTTTGGATCCACCCCTGATGACAGCACACACTAAATTTGACATATAACCAAACTTAGAATTTGCAAGGACCCCATTAGCATGACATACTTTAAGCAAATTTTCACTTGGAACGTTATTCTGTGATTTCTAAAGCAAAATAGGCACGATCAAATGCTTAACTTGAGTATTTTTTTAAAACACAATTTGAGAGCATGGCAATAGCCACACATCCAAATACATGGACACTTTCTTGGAGTATGTTTGGCAAAGCTTTTTTAAGATTATAATATGATGAAACATCATTTTGTCCACATATTTGTAAAATCCACAATTTAAAATTTATAAAAAGTTTACCAAACATACTCTAATCTCCCACATGATGGCTCTTGGATGGTCGTCATCACTCACATCTGGTTGATAAAAAGAACACACGTGTTTTAATGTCAATTGTTCGTCTAATTTTTGGATAGAATTGTCTTGTTATATAGAGGTTGAACTCCAATCTTAAGGGTCCTCCACCGTCCCGTCCTTGGAGTATCGTGAGAGAGGTTAATTACGGGATGTGCCCCACTAGGCCAAGGAACAAGAACTGCATGTACACTGGTACCCACAAAGAGTCTCAATCCATATTTTAGGAATCGAACCCTCACACTGCAGCTGCTAGCAAGACTGAGTATACCTCACCCTTATTTTTTGCACTACTGAGATATGTCCCGGGGGGCTAATTGACTTGTTATATAACATTTATGCGTGTTTGACAATGGCTTCGATAACTTTTTCTTCATTACCACTATTGAGTGTTTTTGAATCCATTAAGACATGTTTGATATTTTTAATACTCAGATAAGACTGAGGAGTAGATGACAAAATTAAAAGGAGATATTTTACTTTTTTCATTTTTACAGGGGTTGGTTCAATATGAAGAAATAATTAAACTCAATGGGTCCTGCTCGCACATCGTAAAGAGGGGTCCACAAGAAGGAGAACCTCATCTCGAATGTCTGGTCCAACACATAAGCTGTGACCGCGAACTAGTGCAGGAAGGCCACCATTCCTCAAGATTAGTCAGATGAAATTTGAACACTGGAATCACCAAAAAAAAAAAAAAAAAGAAAAAAAAAAAAAGGAAGAAGTGATTAAAGCTTGATTTATACACGTATAAAAGTTATGTTGCATCGAAATTTATTGCTGACAGTTGAAATAAAGCAAAGAAAACAATTATGGTTAAACATTAAGTTGGGTCAAAAATTGAGATACAAAGTGAATGTGAATTGCATAAAGAATATTGGGGGTTTAGTTTTGTGGGGTTATCAATTTCATCATTGTTTTCATTGTGCCATTATTATTATTATTATTTTCTTTTTGTTTTATATGTAATTTTGCATATCAAATTCCAATTTCACCTATAACTTACTTTTATTAAACTGAAAATTAAAGAAAACTACCAATGTGAACCAAAAACAAAGATGTTGGGGCCATCTCGCCCAATAAAATATGAATTCCAGTGTTGTATTTCTTGAATGACAATGGTTAATAGGCATGATACCATTTTTTGATCGGCATGCCCAAATTTTGTTGAAGTTTTAAAAATGTTGCCAGAGAAAATGTGGGGCAATAAATGATAAATTCACGTCTTATAGCCAACCAAAACTATCATTATCACTAATCTTTCCATAAATAGACCAATAATTGTACGTTTCAAAGCCCTTATGTTAATTTGGCCGCATCTGATTTGACAGATTTCGTGAATAGAAATATGCAATGAAATGTATCATATCCAAATTTTAGCCCCATTTTATGTTTGGGAAGTGTGTATAAACAATAGAAAATGAGTGGTAGAGAGGTGAGTAGCTATGAAATATACGAGATGGGTTGATAAAAAGTGATTTGACCGAAAATATATACGAGGAGAATTTTGATACATTAACATGTAAAATAAAATAAAATAAAATTTCAATCACTTTTTGTAATACATCATTATATGTGTTGTTGACCTCGATTTCTGATTGGTGATATGGTCAATAGATCCCAATTCTACTCATGTCCATGCTTAATACTCATGCACGCTTGAACAAATTGTAAAGCATGAGGTCTCCTCTGATGGTGTGGAAGGCGACTACGAACAAATTTGATGGTCGAGTGAGTCTATTTGTATATATATCTGGGTGTGGGTGAACGGAAAATGTGAACCACAAGTATGTGTACGAACATCGAATTATTGAGAGAAAATAAGTGATGAGTACTATAATGAGTGTGTAATATTATAATATTTTCAAATGACAATAAGTATGAGTTTTGATAGTAATAGAATCAAGATGGTTACTGTTCAATGAAGGATAAACATAGCGTCATCTTAATGGTTGAGGTGATTCATGATAAGCATGACTTTTTTGATTATAGGTTCAAAGGCGTTAAATGATTTTGAAAAGCGACCATTCTATAGTCTAGATTTGACATTTGAAAAGTAGGTGACAAGTTAACTGAAAGTCGCTTGCTACAGAGAGATCATATTAATAATCACATGAGAACTTGTATGAAAATCTCTTGAAAGAAGTGAAAGAGGATAATGCCTGTGTATGCTTAAAGCTCGCTGCTTCGGATTAATATTGCAACAGATCGTAGCACCTCATCTCAATCATGGAGAATCAAATTTTACATGACGGTTTGACGGAGATGATGTATCACTACGACTATCATGTTACCTCCAAAAGACCAAATAGGATAGTGATGGGGAGAGTGAGCTTGAGTTTGTTTGTTAGTTAGTTATCACGTCGTCGATACTTGAAGTCTTGGGAAGGGACGAAACATGTATTTTACGGGATGTGCAAAATTCGAAATGAAATTCTAAAATGAGATTCATAATCGGCTCTGAGCCCATGTTTGATTCTAATTTTAATCTTACGTCAAAGTCAATAATTAAATTTAACCACACATTTCATGGGATTCATAATTTTCAACTACACATCTCCTCAATTTTTATCAAAATATACTAAAAATTTGATTGGGCTAAATCCCTTGGACAACCCCCTAGTTGTCTTGGGGGACACATAATCCCTTGGTTGTCCAAGTCATTGAAGAACAATCCAACTTGATTTTAAACTATATCAAATATGGGCTAAATTTATTAAAAGCGAATTTTAATTTAATCTTTTAATAATTTATTTATTCATCAATAATTGATAAATAAACATAAATCACGAATTAGACCAGCTCTGTTGATTGGGTGTAGGTAGACCGGTTGTAGATGATAGATATTGAGTGTTTTAAGACATGAAACGCTGGATACTCCGAAAAAATGCTCACTGAAGTCACTTCTTTGCAACTCTCGAGGTTCTCTCTAGAACAAGTACATATTAGCCACTGGTGGCAGCTGCTATTGTACGCCACTGAGATGTACAATAAGCACCTAGCAACTTCCACCATTGAAGGAAGATCTTGATCCTGTCCCCCACCATTTATACGTACACTTTTCCCGTTTCTATACACGCTTTTTCCAATGTTCAATGCAATTAAATGATAACTCTGTTATTCCTTTATTCGGGTCGGATTGCACAGATGGATCCTCAGGGGGTAATGATGAATGAAGGGGGGCGGCTGTATAACTTAGCAGAGATGTGGCCCGGGTTCCAGATTAATGCCAATGAAACGCGGTCTGACAATTTGCCAGCAATTAATCCGGGTTTGGATTCGAATCCGATGGTTATGGAGAAGAGATCGGATCATAGTCCGAGTCAGAAATCGAGGAAGCAAAGGGATGAAGATACTGAGGGAGTTTCTACTAGCAACAGCAATGGCTACAACCATGCTTCCATGGTATTATTTTAATGAATTTGTTTTAACTAATAGCTATTGATTCGTTGTGTTCGATCTTTGCATATTAGAATGGACATATTATACTGTCTAGTCGTGTTCAGTGAATGCAGACTAGAGATATTTGTCAATTATCCTGTCTAGTCGTGTTCAGTTATCTATTATTTTGTCTAGTAGAGTTCAGTCTAATGCGAGCTTTTACTTACCATATTGATTGGATCCACTAGCCAGTGTGTGTAGTATACAAGTCACAGAACATTTTTATTTATCTTTTTAATTGATTTCCGGTGGATGGTTGAGCAGAATAGAAGTGATAATAAAAGGCAAAAGGTCATGGCATCAAATGAAAATCTTGAAACTGAGACGGATGGAGACGGGAATTCACATAAGGTGGCGGAGCAGCCAGCAAAACTGGTGGAGCCGCCAAAGCAAGACTACATCCATGTACGAGCGAGAAGGGGTGAAGCTACTGATAGTCATAGTTTAGCCGAGAGAGTAATTAATCTCACTTTAACTCTAGCTTATACTTCGCTAAGTTTGGGTGAGAGTGTGTTATATGTCACATAATTTCCTACTTTTAAGTAAAAATGTTAATTAGAAGGTAACTCTTACTTCACTAGGAAAATAAGTAAAATGGTTATTTCTAACTTTGGCCAATAAAAAAATTTCCACAGTTTTTTCAAAATTCTATGTATTTATAACTCACTTTTTATTCACATATTTTGCGGACCCACAATTAGTATCCACCACTCATTCCTACATATTTATAATTTATAAACACTTCTCAAACATTTGCTTAATCTTGTAACTGTTATCTGATATATAACAAGAAAACGAACATGCCATGAGTATTTCGAAGTTTGATGAATTAATATTGGATAATAAAAATCATAAGATATATATGTGAATTGTCCCAAAATGATATGGAAAATAAATCCTGGAAAAAGGGAATAAAAAAAGAAGCTATCTCTCGAGCACAGGTTTAGGTGAGGCCTCAGTGGGAAAAGAAATGGAGCTGGTTGGACAGATAGTGGTGCCACTTGATTGTAGTAATGGAGACAGTTATTCTATCTATTTCTCTTTGACAGGCAAGAAGGGAGAGGATAAGTGAGAGGATGAAAATTCTCCAAGATTTAGTCCCTGGTTGTAATAAGGTGAGTACTAGCATCTTTTTCTATCCATGGTCTTATGTATACATTCCACATGTTTGATACGTTGTAGTGGACAAGATTTGGGAAGAAATACTATTTTTTTCTCTCAACTAGTGTTTTTAGAATTTACGGATTGATGGCCATCCTCCATTACTATCCTTAATGTTCTATTATGCTCCTCAATGTGGTAATTTTTTTAGAGAGGTTTATATGGATTCAGGTTATTGGCAAAGCACTAGTTCTTGATGAGATAATTAATTATGTACAATCTTTACAGCGTCAGGTCGAGGTACATATCTCTCTCTCGAAGATTAGTTGAATCCAATGGAAAACTTGAACTAAGTACTTCATTTCTTGTCTCAGTTTCTTTCAATGAAGCTTGAAGCAGTTAATGCAAGAGTGAATCCTGTAAGTTTTCAGAAAGATGATCATCATCTTTGTGATTGTGTTTTGAACTTTTAGGGACCGTTTGGATGGACTTCTAAAAGTCAAAAGCTACTCTTGAAATTAAAAATCTACTTTTGACCTGTTTGAATAATTTTGAAATGTTTTATTAGGCTAGAAGAGTTCGCATGACCAAGGTGACTTCCTCGTGAAACTCTTCAACAAGAAGTAGAAGCCTTGTCAAATAGTTCTTAATCACTTTGATTATCAGTCTTGCTAGTTGCTATGTTCAAGAACTTTATGTATAAAGATTAGCTGACACTATTTTTATTGGGAATAAGATTTAGTTAGTTGATGATGTGCTTTGGCAGAATTGTCTGTCCATTTATTTTCCGTCCTTCCATTTCATTGTCTATTAATGCTACAACATTTCTTGTTGGTTTTACCAGATATCTCAGCAGCCATTTGATAATCCTGGCGGGGTATTTGATTCACAAGCTGCTAGAAAATATGATATAAATACAACACCAGAATGGTTTCATATGCAGATAGGTGGCGCGTTTGAATGAACATCGTGAGTTCATAATCTTCATAGGATCGTAAATAACAATAAGAAGCTGTGTTCGAGAAGGATTAATATCTCAAGAAAATAAATTTGTGCTTCAATGATGCAACGATGTATTTCTTTCTCGAATCACAAATGTATTGCATTTACATTTCATTATCAGGTGTGTGACTGCTGCATCCCTTGGGACTTTCTGAAACTCATATTATAAAATCTCCACCCTTTAGATTTTCGAATGCTATGAGTAATATTTGGTACTTAAAACATAAGAGAATACTAGCATAATTATATATATTTTTGGAGGCTAAAAGTTACTCTTAAGCATAGTCAAATATTCAAGAATTAGACATGACTGGACAACTATCTTGATTTTATCTAATATAGAGTTTCGTCAATGAGTAGCGAAGTCAAACATTGAAATCTTCCGAGTTTACGGCAATTTGATCAAGGCAAAGAAAAACGAAATTGCTCCTGTAGTTGAACTGAATCCAATGCTTCAGTTAATATAAGTAGAAATTTGTCCAAATAATCAAATATTATACAGTTTTAAGAGCTTAGATAAGTGTGTAAAAATATTTATTAGGACTTTCTCAGTCAAGGATAGTGCGACGTTGACCCTACCTGAAGGTCTTATCCTAGCGAAAAACCATAACTTCCTCATTGTCGTTTTCGAATGGGATTCTCTTTAGATGTTCAAAGCTTATGCTCATACTTTCTTTCCTTCTAATGCCTGTTTCTTAAGTGATATTGTATCACTTTTACACGAAGTAGTGGATCTTATCAATTTATTCATCGAGCCAAAATAAGGTGGACCTTTCACTTGTTACTCGTTTTCTAGTTGGTTTTTCATTTGGTTGGTTGCATCTCACATTCGGAAGAAAATGTGGCGAGTTCATCTTTTGTGGAGGAGAAAATTAATTTTCTAGGATGTCATTATGCAAAAGATATTGAGGGGCAAGAGTCAACATATTACCCAAATGTTGACTCTCGGCATATCTTTTTAAGGAAAGATTATAATTTGTACACTACCACCATACAAGTTGATCAGGACGAATTCAAGCTTAATTGTAAATGGAAGCCTAAACATCATATGATGTTTGATTTTGGTGTCGTGCACATAGAAAAGAAAAATGGAGCTAGAACTTGTCAATTACAATGTTAAAATCTGCTTCACTGCTACGTAGAAAACTTGTACGTTGAAAAAATTGTCTCAACAATTTCTTAGTAATGTAAAAATAAAAAGAAAAAGAAAAAGAAAAAAAGAAAAAGGAAAAAAAGGAGCAGCTTCACTAGTTTCCTGCATTGAGTCCAGTAAAAGAAAACAAATTTGCCGAAAGGATCCTTAAAATGCCAGATACACACTCCAGGCAATGTAATCCATTTCCTTCCTGTCCTCTTATCTCCTCGAAGAGAGTTTGAGATACCCTTGTGCTCCTCAGGAAAGTCGACAAACCTTGTTAATCTGTGTGAAATGGTGTGTAAATTTTCGCTCAAAGATTCTTCTTCACCATCATAATCATCATCATTCTCATAAACTAGATGAATCCCACATTTCTTCAACATAATTCTATGATCATAAGGAGGATTGCGCCTTTCTACCTGTATTTTATCACCGTCTTGTAGTAACAAAACTAAATGAGTAAAATCCGGATATCTGCACAAAAAAAGCTGATCTTCCTCCGTAGAAGGGATACCTCTCAAGTTCATTGTATGGGTGAAAACTGCTATGTTTGCTCTCAGGATCTTTGCTTGGACTTCATATATTACAGGCAACCCATCATATCTTGAATCATGCTCGATTTGAGGGTTGTTAGAGATGACAACAGCTATAATCACGCTCTTTATCGCATCATATTTCTTTTTGGAAAAGCAAACCTCATCTCGAGTAAACCAATCCGGGATTTCACTTCCAGGGATACTAAAATTTTGTAAATTCCTCAAAGCAACCTGCATCAAGAAATTGTAACAAATTAAATTGCTTTGCATTCATGCTTTTGATAGTACAAATTCATAAACCAAAAGTACAAAAAGAGACAAATGAGCCACTGTCCAAGCTATCGTAGGTCCTGTGCTGCCCAGAGCACGAGGCATGTGATGATTTAACATCATCCTCACCTTTTTCGTGTTTATCATGGGCAGTCTATTTGTAATCCAAAACTCACTATGACAAGTAAACATGAAGGTTGCGATCATTGTGATACTTTTGCTACCCGAGCTGCCAGCAAGGCACCCTTCTATTTCAAGAGGATTTGCACATGCATACAGGTAAGAGAGAGGTATACCTTGTCAAGTTTTCGTATCACTGCTGAGGCACAAGAACTACAACCTCCCATGTACAACCTTTTCATGGACTTTAATTGTTCGACGCCTGGAACATCCACTAGTTTCTCACAATTTGCGAAATCTATCTGCATCAAATTCTGCAAATTTGAGAGATCGGAAATGCTTTCCAGAGACGTGCAATTTGCAGCATTTAGCTCCTGCAAACTCTCAGGAAGTGGAGGAAGAACTTTAAGCAATTTGCACTGGGATAATTCTAGCTTTTTGAGAACAGAGAGTCCTCTCATATTGGATGGAAGACTATGAAAATCATTGCGACTCAAATTCAAATCCTCTAAAGATAATAACTTCTCAAAATCATCAGGTATCTTCCCAGTTATCTTCCATGCACAAGCATTGAATTCAACTAACAAGGAAAGATCTGAGAAAGAAGATGGAAGCACCTTCATCTCTAGACTAGTAGCAGGCTCTGACGTTCCAGAAATTTGAGGAACCTGGAGACTCTGTGTCATTCCCAACGTCCGTAAATTAGAAAGCATTCCAAATGTTTCTGGTAATTCAGTAATGGCAGTTTCCACCATAAACAGGTGATTCAAGTTCTTCAATTTTCCAAATGAGACCGGTAATTTTCTTAGTTTCTTGCAATTATTCAATCTTAACATGGTGAGATTTTCCAACATTCCTATAGATTCCGGTAACTCTACTATGACAGCATTGTCTAAGATCAACGTATTAAGGGCCGACATATTTCCGATTGATTCTGGAAGTGCAATAAGATTCTTGCAATCTCTGACTTCAAGCTTCTTAAGTGATTTCAAGGAACCAATTTCTTGAGGTAAACTAGTTATTAAAATCCTGTCCAACTGAAACTCAATCATTGAAGATAACCCTTCAATTGTAACAGGCAACGAGCGCAAACATTTACAGTCTCTGACCGATAAATCTTTCAGATAGAATAGCGAACCAACAGATGCTGGTATAGCTTCTATGGAACTACCACTTAGGAAGAGTTTAGCCAGTGATTTGAGATTTCCAATAGAATCTGGAACCACAATTAATGATTTACACCACATCAAATTTAGAGTCTCTAGATTTCCCAGAAAACCAATGGTATCGGGTAGTTCATCCAGTGCAGAATCAAGAAGAGAGAGTTCCCTTAAGGAACTAAGCTTTCCTATGCTTTTGGGTAGTCGTTTTAACGATTTGCAATGGTCGAGGGAAAGCTTTTCGAGATAAGTTAACTGGAATATAGTTTCAGGCAATTTGTCTATGGCAGTACTATCAGCAAGTAGTTGTCGTAAAGAATTCATGCTGCCAATATTCGAAGGTAGATTTTTCAGTTGTGAACAATCAGAGATAATGAGTACCTCGAGACATTTTAGCCCAGAGACATCACTTGGAAATTCTACAAGGCTCGAACATGACCTCAAGTTCAGATGCCGTAAAGTGTCCAGGCTGCCTAATGATTTGTGAATTGTTTTCAGATTAACGCAACGCTCGAGTATCAGCTTTTCCAGGGATTTGTGCTCAGACAAATCAGGAATAGCAGTCAGGTTACGGCAATTATAGAGATTTAACACAGTAAGTTTATTTTTCACCTGGAAAACAGAGAAAAATTACATCGTCATTGAGCAGATAAAGGAATGTGAGCAATTCAACTGAGATTTTTATCGAAAACAAAAGCAAGCACATGGAAGCATTTTAGATGAACTGTAATCTTAAAGTAACTTGGAGATCCATGTTGATCGATTAATAGTCTAGTGATCAGAATAATAAAAAGAGGAAATCAACACAAATTTTGGCAATCCTATGAACCAGAGTGGTCAGAAGAATAAAGACCCGTCCCTCATGGCAATCATAAGAATAAAGAGCAAAACAGTATTATAGGATAAAGATCCGTCCCTATAAATCAACACACATCTTTTGGCAATCCTATAAATCAGAGTGATCAGAAGAATAAAGGTCTATCCCTCATGGCAATCAGAAGAATAAAGAGCAAAACAGTATGATCACATTACCATGGCATTATGTTCTACCATAACAAAACACGACTTCAATTCTGCCATGTATATAGATTATTTTTCTTTTCAATTTTGTTTCAATATGGAAGATTTGAATAGAATTAGGCTCTAATTCACCACTTTCTCAGTCCATTTTCTCTTTCACAGTTCAATTTTGTTATGGGATGAATGAATTATTTTATCTTTTCCAACTTTCTGATGCAGCTAGCCCAACTGGAATTCCAACCACAGCCCGCCACAGGCAGATCAGGAGGAAGCCTGATCGAATTAGAGCTGTTTTGTTTTACTTAATTAAAACTTATTATTCTCAGGATTCCATTGTCTTTTCGGTAGGCATAGTATATTAACTTTGATTTTATAGGGTTGGATTTTTGTTTTAATAACGTTTGCACAGAGAGTTTTCTCTCCTAAATTCAACCTTGTTTGATGCTTGGTTGTCGTGATTATAGTTCTATCGTTTCCTGACTGCGCCACTTTCTTCTCCAGACACCATAAGCCGAGAAAGTAGCAGAACATGCTAATGGGATTGATTGTCAAAAAATGTCATGAAAGTGAAACATACCTTTCTTCTATCCAAGAACCATTTCCTTCCAGATAAACTTTCTATCGTGCTCTGTGAGAGATCAAGAACAGTCAATTCCCTGGCCAAAAGTATAGAAGGAAGAGTTCTGAGTGAACATTTCCTCCATTGTAGCCATTTCACTGCAGTAGGGATATTTTCAAAACCTCCCTCCAATCGGACATTACTAAATCGAAGCAACCTGAGATTAACCATTGATTTAAACCATTTGGTATCAACTATTTCTTCACCTTCATCGGCATCATGTTGAAAATATTCCTTGTATTTCTCCTTCATATATGTTAATGCAGCAGTTACATTGGGGGATCTTCGAAGATAGTCTAGAGCTATAGAACCTGGAAGTATCATACTTGTG